CAGCAGCATTAATCATACTGTTTTATCTCCTCAATCTGATTAAAGAATTGGTCATAGAGACATAAATTAAGTTCTCACCAAATATAAATATATTTAAATTGATGACTAGAATTTTACAATATATCTACCCAAATTTTATGATTATTTAAATGTAAAAGAGAATAGGAATGATAAAAATAGGCAAAAAAATGTAAATATGATGAGTTGGCTCCTTTTGAGATAATCCAGATTAAGAAAGTATAAAAATTCCTTCCCTTCTTTCTTGTATGGGTAGCTATAAGTCTTCGGTTTTATCACTCTATAAAGAAATGTCATAAATCACCTTGAAAATATATTTTTATAATTTTTTTTTTGTTTCTTTTCTTATTTTTAGACATTTAAATGATTTAATACGCCTTTTTCAGATTTCTTGTAATGACATAAAGAGTACATTAATTACTTTTTAAGGACAGGAGCTAATTTGAAATGGAAGTCGTATGCAAAATTGCAATTAATTTATTTAAGATTTGACAAAGTTTTTGAATTTTTATCATAAAAAAATTTTGTCTGCTTGAATGAAATTTTTGTTTTCAGTTTTAGTCATCTTAGGAATGAAATTGGTTTTGTCAAATTTGTCTTCTCAGTTTGGTCGAAAATGGTATCTTTCGGAAAAATAGAGTCACATTTCAAAAACAAACTTAACCCTAGCGAGACTAACTAGCAAGTTGCTAGTCTTTCAATTCTACAACTTGCAATTTACTAGTTATTATTAAAACAACTTACTGTTAATAAATTACATTTGCTATTTACTAGCAAATTACTATCAAATTACCATGGAAATGTTTGATTAAATCTGCTTAAATTCGAATCTTACAAAAAATCATCAAAAAAAGAATTTTTTGCGTCATAAAAAATTTTGTTCTAAATTTGGCATTTGCTATATACTTCACAAGAGCGCGCAGAAATCAACTTTATAACGTCGATCCAAATTTGTATGTGACTTTCGATTAATTATTTATCTTCCTTAGGTTTGCGTCCGAGTCATCGGCTTTCATCAATGTTCGACTTAATTAAATTAAGTCTTTTATTTTTTTCATAGTGTTAGTGTGCTTTAATTAAATTTACTAAGTGCATACTAATACTTTTACAATAATTTACAAAAATAAGAAAAATCAAAAAACACGTGGAAATCAACGGTTATATTCATTTAAATTTTTTAAAAATTTGCTAGTAAATTACTAGTTAAATTATAAGCGAATTGACTAGTAAATGGCGATGATTTGAACTTGGATTTTTACTAGTAAATAGCAAGTAGCAAATGGAAAGTTATCCAGTAAATTACTAGTAAATTTCTGCTAGGTTAATATTATTATAAAGATGTAAAAACGTAAGTCTAAGTTCCAAAAATAGATGTTTTCGCTTAGTAATTATGTTTATTCAATCAAAATAAAGTGTTTGCTTAGTTCAGTGGACTTATCAATCAATTCTCATATTTCTGTGATAAAAAATATTTTTTCAACAAATGGTCAAAATCTTCCAGAACCGAAAATAGAATTTAAAAGTATAATTATCATACTTATCATATCTATTCTATTCTTTTTTACGATTTAAAATCAAAAATCATACGGAATTCATGCTTGACAAAATTCTAGTCCATCTTGTGATTAAATTAAAATTTTCATTAATTCTCACTTCGAACAAAATTAATTTTAAAGTCACCGCAGTCATTTACTACAAAAAATATAATTTTCATTTGTTTTAATAACTCTGAAAATAACCAATGTCATAAAAATAGAATTAGAGTCGTTCATGACTCGTCAATTAGCCATTAAATTTGAAATTAAGTCTTGTATTAATTTATATTCGCACATGCGGGACGTCTATTGGGCAATTCTCCAGATAAGTTTTTCAAAAAATTATCCGGAGAATCAAATTTTCTTGGAAATTTTCCATTACCAAGCATAACTTTTACATTTAAATCGATGTAAAATGGCAAAAACTATTATATTTTATCTATTTAAGTCTTTAAAAGTAGCCAATAATTAAGTTTTTTCAATTTTTTTTGCAAATTACTGTCAGCAAAAAATGGAATAATCATCCGGAGAATCGAAAATTGAAGAAAAGTAAACACTCATTTTTTATTATGATTATGCAGAAATGTAGTTTTTGAGCTAATCTATCTAACCATAATCATATCACACTCCAATTATTACTATTTAAAGAGAATTTTTGATTCTTTGGTGGATTTTTTTGCTGACAGTAAAAAAATTAAGCTTTTATTTTGCAAATCCATGAAAAAAATGCTAAGCAAATATTTCATAAAAATTAAATTTTAGTCTTAATTTAACACTTCATGGTTGAGTTATTGTTGATTCAGTAAGAATCAATCGTAATAAACAGTTTAAAGTTGCTTTAAGCAATCAAAACAAAGAAATTGACAAGATATTTACAAAAAAAAATATGAAAGTAAACAGTAAATGACTTTGGATTATAAAAGCTCTTTTTTCAAAAACTCAACTCATCTGGAGAATTGCCCTATTAATTCACATCTCAAGATAAAAAAAATACTTAGGAGGTCTGTGATATGGTAGAATTTCACAATATTGTCCAAGTATTGAAACCCGGATTGAAGGTTCTCCATCGATTTAATTGAATTTGATTAAATTATCACTTCAGATTTTTGGGGATTTTTTTTATCTAATGGAATCTTTTGATATTAATTTGATGTTTTAAGCACATGTGTATGATAAATAAAGAACAATAAAGAACATCCAAAATAAAGTTGAAGAAGTTTTTAATGATGTGTAAATTGATTGAATCTTTCTATCTCTCGGGAGGCCTTCAAAGAGTCTCGTAAATAAAATAAAAATAAAAACTATAAAAACTGGTTAGAATGATGCTAGGATGTTTGGCTTAAACGCTTTTTCTTTTGTTGGATTTGAAGATTTAAAGATTTTTATAATGAAATTTTTTAACCACTTTTGCAATTTTGATTATTCAAGTCAAAAAAATTCAATTTGAGATCTTAAATTGACTTTGAACCTATAATAGATATAAAAGTCCTGAAGGACAAACTGCCAAGCATCAATCAATCTTCAATAAAAATGACCAAGGAATCATTTTAGAGCAATAAGAGAACCGTCAAAAGGTTATTAATTTTCATTTCATTGTATGCTTTTGTTGTGTGCTTGTAAAAATGATTTTAAAGTGACCAACTTACTTAGGAACATTGTCAAATATATATTACGTATATTCGTGAGGAAAGAGAGATGAAATAACAATAAATTTCCGAGGATTTCTGTTTCAGTTGAATAAATGTCAAGTTTATTGTGTGAACAACCAGAAAACAACTTTATCAAAATATACAAAAGACAAAAATCTCGTGCGCCTCCTTTTTAGCTTTTCTCTGTTGTTTACCGGAACAACAACACACAAGAAAAGAAACATTTTGTAATGTAGAATGTGATATATCGTAGGAATACCAAAAAAAAAAATACTCAAACAGGTAGGTAAGGCATTTGTCAGTTCACATGCACTGACTTCTTCAGGTTCCATCTAATGTGAATTATGATGTTGAAAAAGGACCGAGAAAGAGAGCATTTATATCTCTTAATATCCAAAAGGTTATACTTTTGTGTGTGGATATAGACAGACAGAGAAAAGGAAATGACCTTGTTATTGAGACGAATTAATTTCTCAACACGGAAATTACTAGTTTCGAGATTTTTTTCTTTTTTATTTTGACACTTAGCACGCGCTATAAGGAAGATAAAGTCAAAATGATTGTGCCTTTTCTTAATTCAATAATTATCATATTACATTGTCTCATGCTGTATAATTATTTTGACTCTATAATTTAGCTACTGACTGTTGAAGAATATGGAGGATTGTATAGATAGTTGTCTATAGAAGAACCACCACACAGCTCTTGGTCTGTATATAAATCATAATCACGACGTTTGAGACTTGCATTTTATGAGCCAATATTGTTATGGCTTTAGTTCCTTTATGTATAACCAAAAGAAGTTATTATATAACAGATTTGAACTTATTTTTAACTGCAGATGAACTTGAACTCATCGTCTCTCTTATTCAATCTTATTTACCCCCAAAAATTTGACGATGATTTTCTTCTCTTGTCTTGTATACATGATTTTAAGTCTACCAACTGTTTTTGTTTATGAACAATTTTCTATTATGTATATTTAAGCATGTATGACTCAATTTTTCGTCACTGATTTTTACTGGGACAAACTTTAAAGAGAATTTCCTTGTTTAAAATGTTGATGTCTTTGTATTAAATTGAAATGAATGACTTGTTAAAGATTTTTATTGATGAATATTTAAATTATTTTATGTGTTTTAGGAATGTGTGTTTGTTGTGCATTTGGAAGGAAGTTTGTATATAATACTACGCATATGTGGATTGGCATATTGGCATATGTCTAGGAAATAATGTTGAATTTTAGATTCTAATAATTTTTAACTTAGATTTATTATTAATTTTAAAGGTTTACAAACTTTTGTTCATTTTAACAAAACTAGATCTGTCAATCTTTAATCTATAAGTGACTTAATTTGGGAGATCATTAATGTGACGTTACAAACGTTCAATTTAGTCAAAAATTATTAAGATTTGGCAATTTAAATGTTTTTTTCAATTGAACAAAGAATTTTCAATGAGTTAATAATGAAATAAATAATAAAGTAAATAAAAACCCTAGTATAAATTTATTTTTCAGTCACTAGTGCCAAAATAGCAATTAAGAAAGAAAATTATTAAAAGAAAAAGAGAGAGAAAAAAGACATGTCAAATTGAAGACGAAAGAAATGACATTAAAATAATGAAGTAAATTCCACATCAAATGAGTTGAATCATACATTCATCGGCGAAATATAATAGCCGTCGCAAAAATACAATGCGAGAAAGAAAAAAATAATATGAAGGAGTGGAAGCAGCAGCGAATCAGCATGTGTAAAATTTGAAACATTTCTACATAAAAATAGTAATTTTAACTCACCATTGAATCGTCTCCTAGGTCTGAGTCTCTTGTATCCATAACACAAATTCCCTCTTACTGTGTCTTAGAACTTTTTCCAGTTACTCTGTTCTGTTCTGTTCATTCACCACACACGAGATTATTCAATGAAATTTAGTAAAATTGAAAAATTATTATTTCTGAAAGAGAATTGAAAATTATTATTTAAATATCTCTTAAATTGCGAAACCGCCAACAGCTCAATGAAAAACTGTATGACAATTATGCAGGTGCTAGCTGCTCGTGTTTCCCAAAATAAGTATAAAAAATTAAATATCAATTGTATTCGACTGTTTGCGAATAATATTTACCTAGGAAATTTTTAAGTCGATTAGCTGAGCTATAGCTTCTTATTTCTCGTACACAAAATTATTACTGTCTATTATTTGATATAACTGTATCTTTAAATACAATAAAAGAATGTTTCAATGACGATGATTGCTATGATGATTGATAATATTTTGATTAATAATTAACACGCATATGAGCATTTCACAATTCTTTATTTCTATTTATTCACAATTCAAACATGAACTGAAAATTCTTTCTATATTTATCTTCTGTTTATAGTCACTAGAATAAATTATTATTCACTCGAAAAAAAAATCAGATTTTTTTGAAACTCTTGCTGTTTATTCACTTTTCTTCCACTTTAAAATTCAAGTGCATTTATCTGTACTGTAAATAATATTGACTGTCTTTTCCACAATTATCATTCACTTTTAAATATCTTTTTTATTATGCAATAATAACATTAATTTGTATCATAATTCTCTATTAATTGCTCCTGTTTTTTTTTTCCTTCTCATTTCTTTTTTCCACAACGAACGATATTCGCGAAACGGCAAGAAAAAAATATTTTCGCTTGCACTTCAACGACGACCAAAAGAAATAATAAACAATACACAAACGAATGAAATGTATGAATGAAAAGAAGTGTGTAAAGGCAAAATTATTAGTTTCAAACTTTTCGATTGCTCTCCATCTCTTCATTTGCTTATTCCTACAATACACAAATACATGACTGCTTTAGTGTTTTACATACAGTTTTGTATATCTACATATCGGATTTTTATTTTCATGATAATTGTTGTTATGTGTGGCACTAAATGAATGAGAGAACTTCTCCGACACTTACACAACTGTGCACCTATGATCGAGTGGAATGAAGAAGAACGAAAAAGTCTACAAAAATGAATTTTCCCCTGAAATCTTTTCTCTCACGTGGATATGCTGATATTGTATATATTCATGTGCAATAGGGGAAAATGAAGAACAAACAGCAAACTTATTTGAGACGAGGATTAGGGGAATTACGAAGGTAAGATAATCATCGAAAATGTGATAAAATTATGAGCATTTATGGGACTTGTCAAGGTAATTTGCATTATTCTGAGTTTTATGCAGAAAAAATCTAGAATCAAAATATTCAGCATTATTGAACAAGATTAATAATTTTTTTGAACATGATCCATCATGTCTTGTTCAAAGAAATTCAGTAAGTTTGCTAAATTCAGCAACATTCATTAATTCAGCACTCTGAGTTGAATGTATCAAGTTAAGATGAATTCAGCAAAATCAGCTGAATTAAACAAGCTAAGCTTAATTTAGCTAGTTTAGCTTAATTCAGCGAATTTGATGAATTCAGCGATCTAAGTAAGATCTAGAAAATTGTATCTTAAATGTAAGGTCTTTCAAACTTTGATTTTAATTCATAAACCTCATCCATACTTATATCCAGAATACTCTCCTGAATTAAACTAACTTAATAAGACATCACGAAGAATGAAGTCGCAACAAAAATTTGCATCACTTTTTCAACACGACAGAAGAAAAAAAATCCTCATTTTTGTCTCTTCTTCCGTTGATCAATTTAACAGCAGCAACATCATTAAATTCCCTGTTTCGTTTTATTTTTCATTAATTTGAATAACCAAATAATGATTTTTCTTAAATGCACCTCGAAGGAATTCAGCTACCGAATTTAAAATCTTCTCCTTTTTTATCATCAGATTCTTTCATGACTTTGATGTGAAAAGTATATGAAAAGAGAAATAAAATGAGAATTATAATCACGCAACGTCAATTTTTTTTTGGAGCTGCTGATATTTCTTGAATGAAAAATAAAATGCATTTTATTAGCATTAATGTTATAACTTTTTTTTTAGACTACAACAAATGAGTGCATGTGATGGCTAAAAGCTGAAACATTTATTTAAAATTGCTTTAATTAAATTTATTGGTAAATTTTGTTAAACAGTTTTTTTTTTGTTATTATTAAAAGTTCGTTTAACATTAGAACTGCAGAATTAGAAGATGATGCTGATGGAAATTCTATTTTCCACTGGATTTTATAGTAAAGGAATCTTAATTGTCACTTTTTCTGCATTTATAGTCTTGCCGAAAATGTCAAAAAAATATATCATCAAAATTGCCGCAACTTAGCAAAATTATCTACTATTTTAGGTATGCGCATCATCCATTAATTACATCAAACCCCAATTCTGCTTATTATATATATTTTAATAGAATGAGTAAGTGCTGTGAGTAGTCAAGTCAATGAAATTAATGATGGGAAAATGTTATTTTGTTTCAAATTAATTTTATTCTATTTTCCTTCTTCTCACTATGAATGTATGGATGTATATTATGTACGTATGGTACCCCTGAGAAGGAGGAAAAAAGAGCGTGAAAAACTTTTCATTTTACTCTTTCACACAAAACATTGAGTTGATCGAATAATTAATGATGTTAAATGGAAAACCAATAAACATTCATTGCTGACTCGCTTTTCTCTTAATATATATTTTTCTCTTTCGTATAATATATATGGATATTTGCTTGAATGATGTAGAACCAAAGCAAGGCAAAGGAGAAAATTTATTTCATTTTCACTTTTAAAAAAAAAAGTCATTAAAATTTTATATTGATCGATTTTTAGGCAAAATGTTTGCTTTTTCCCTCTATAAAAATACTTTTTATGTTCAACAGCAAGTCATTTAAGTATAAGTAAACTATTCGGTTATAAAATATGGTTCAGCAATGAGCAGTAAAATTAATTGGCTCGTCATGTTTGACGACACAGTTTACTAGCAAACGACAAGTTCTGTAAGATATAATGAAGTTCAGCTATCTAAAAGGAATTTTCAAGGAAATATTTCATACATTTTCCTATCACAAGAAACACAAAACTCTAATATCAACTGTCAAAAAGAATTTCAAAAAATAACGAAGAAGAAATATTCAAAAATTTTGTTAAAAGTTGAAAAAAAAATCAAAAAACCGTTAAAATTTCCAAAATCATTTCATTACCAACAACTCAATTTCCAAGCACTGAACACAACATAAATAATTTTCATCCTCAAAATAAAATTAATGCCTTTAAAATAGCAAATTTACTCATACACATAAGCACTCTGCAGAAATATTTTTCAGTTGATTGATAAGACATAATGATTAGACAACATTCTTGAATTGCTCTCACTCCTTCCATCCATCGTGTTCATGCAAGCAATGAAATGAAATGAAATAATGAAAATTTTGTAAAATAAATAAATTTTAGAACCTAAACAGAATGAAAAGAAACTTGCTCATCTTCATTTTTCACATCTAATTGACGTAGATCTGTTTTCCCTTTTTTTTTCTTCCCCGTTCTAATAAATAGATAAATTTATAATAATTGCTGTATGCTGCGTGCAATCTGATCATTTATAGAATATTAAAAATATTTAAGTTTCATCTCAATCCACAATAATTGTTGTTATAATAATAATCATTATTGTGATGATTTTGAATTGCTATATTAACTACCTTATTATTAACCTTAATACTATTGTTGAAGGGTGTCCAAGCATGTAAACATCGCGCGGTAGGGCGAAAAATTCTATATTTTTGTATATTTCATCATCCCTAATAGAATCATCATTTCTATTCAATTCATCCTAGCTAGATAGCTAACAAGGTGTAAATTTGTATGAAAAGGAACCAGAATAACAAACAAAAGTGGAAACAGAAACCATAAGATGATGATTCGACAGAAGGGTCAACAATAGATTGAAAAAAAATAAAACTTACGAAAAAAGAAGTCTGAAGAATGCATCATTGTCGTCACTTTATGTTGCATCAAAGTTACCGACTCGTCTCCTTTTTCATATTTTCTCTCGTCCATAACTCATAAATGTACTTCTTTAATCAAACCACGAAATTTCATTTTCAAGGAGATGAAGTCAAACAAAAACGAATTTCTCTCTTTTATATTATATGTAAACATAATGTGATATTAAAAACTTTTATTTTCATTGCTCTGATGCCGTTCCTTGAGTTTTAAATGATGAACGAAGATGATGAACAATAGAAAGATATTTTTTTGAAATTTTATGTGATTTTTTAAGAAAAATTCATATTTTGTGATGTGAAACTTTTGGGAATGAATTTACAGTTGAACTCAGCTTATTCAGCATAATTGAGAGTATTCAGCACAATTGAGAGTATTCAGCACAATTCAATTTATTCAATAATACTCAGCACAATTTGCTTATTCAAATTGTATCGTAAATTTTTCAAGACCTTTTAATTCGAGCATAATTCGAGCCGAAACAAAACATTATTCAAAATAAAAACAAACAATTGTGATCCAAGTCAAGCTCCTCCAATTCCTTTTAATTCATTTATTCAATTAAATTCCCTCCACATGTTTGAATTGCGGATCAAGTTTCTTATTCATAATTTAATAAAAAAAAATTGCGCGTCATATTCATAAAACAATATTTTCATGTATGTTTTGTCTAGCAGTTCCTTTATATGAATGAAGCCATGAAATGAATTAAAATTGACTTTTATAAGGCTTAATTATTGATTTTACGTATCAAATTATGAAACAACTTCACTTGTCAATTATTTATTTAATTTCATAATTACGACAGTCCTTTAACTCTTCATGAATTTCGTGCCTTATAAATCCGTACCTAATTAAATATTTCAAATTAATATTTTTTTTCGATTTTAATATTTTTTGTCGTTTAATGAATTTTATATTAAAGAACACAGCAATTGATTCCGTCACAAAAGTAAACGTGGATTTGCAATAAATTCAGCTACATGAATTTCCGTGATTGTAGAACTGCTTCAAGGCTCTTGTTGCTGCTGCTGTATTAAGTGTAATTCAATATTAAACACACATATGAGACGGATTAATGAGATTATTTGAATAAATTATATATCGCAAAAAATAATATAGAATTTATATAAAATAGAATTAATTCGCATTTTAAAAAGTCCACAGCGTGAAATTATAATGTAAAGTAGGTTTTTACATCCGTAATATGATGATCAGGTTGAATTAATCTGATTGTCATTAATCATGAAATTGTAAAAACTTTTTTTCAATCAATTCGCAAATGTCTTGCGCCATAAAAAATGTAGCTTTATTAATTTATTCAGTAGGAGATTTAATATTAATTTTATTCCTCCTTGCTGATTACATCAATCAATTACTTATTTTGCTGTTTTCTAAAGACTTTGAAAGATGTATTTTGAATAAAATATTAAATTGAGATTTAAACTGTGTTTTGCTGAACTTTAGTGAACTGCGCTGAAATAGCTAAATTAGCTGAATAAAGTGAAAGTTTATGAATTCAGCAAAGCTGAATAAGCTGGAATCGACAATAAAACTCGGAAATTGCGGAAAAATTTTCTTCTACACGGTCAACCCCATTCAGATGTATCGAATGTGAATCAAATGATTTTAAAAGCAAAATGAGCGCACGTGGAAGCATCTCAAAAAGTAAGAAACACCAAAAAAATTAATTAATTTTTACAGAAATAGAAGAAAAAAGGTTTTTGATTTTTTTCCTATCTTACTGTGTGAAATTTGAGAATGATGATGATGATGATGTAAGTCGCGTCAATCATTCAATGGAAAAAAAATGTTGGCTTTATTCGTCAATT